TGCCACAAATTTGAATGGTATATAAATAGTAATATATCCGGTGATTTTATTCTGTTTACAGGGCTTGCATTTGTTTAAAATGTTATATTGTTTGTCCATAGGTTTGGCCTCTGTCTCTTTAGATTAGAATGCCAGTTGCCAGGAGTTGGGTATGTCGGAAGACTTATGTCACCCCCAGGCGGCCTTTTGAAAAATCACGCCTTGATCAGGAGTTGAAGCTTATTGGTAAGATTTATTCATTTATTTGTCTTGATTCTAGATAAATTGTGCCTTGTGAAGTAAAACAATCTGTTAAACGAATGGATAATACAACTATTAAGAGCTATAAATAAATTCATAGCTGCTGTCAAGTAAAAACAATGAAACAGCTCGCCACCTGGAGTTGTGGATTTTTTTTTATAGCTGGAGGTTTTCAAGAAAAGTTGGATAACCATTTGTCCAGGATGGTAGTGAAGGATTCCTGCTTTGAGCCAGGGATTGGAGCAGAAGACTTCCAAGGTCCCTTCCAGCCATATGATTCTATAAAATAAGTCCCAGGACTGTTTTGTGTTTCTGTCATCTTCCAAAGTGCCACAATGATTGAGAAAAAAAATACTCCTCTTTAGTTGGGAAATGAATTCTCCAACTGAAAAATTAAAACAAAAAGATCTCATTTTGATGGGATAAATTGGAAGGGATGATATCTACTTTAACCATCAATGATTCAAATTGAATTCTGTCCAGAAGGAGAATGGGGTTTTTTTTAGAAAAATATAAAGGAGAATTGGAGGCCCCTAAGAGACTTTTGCATGAAATGGAAATAAAATGCATTTGTGATTTTGATGGTTTGGGGAAAATAATAGATAATAGTGAGGGTTTTTTTTAATCATAGGGTAATATGTGTGTGTATATGTGTATGTATATACGTGTGTGTATATATGTGTGTATATACCACTATAAATAATTTAAGGTAGTGAACATACCTAATACTCCTTCCTCCTATTTTTCCCCCTAACAACGACCCTATGAGGTGGGTTGGAGTGAGATGACTGGCTCGAGGTCATCCAGCTGGTTTTCATGCCTAAGGTGGGACTAGACCTCACAGCCTCCTAGTTTCTATGCCAGCACCTTAACCACTACACCAATTTGGCTGTCACAACTTTGTGATACACAATCCAAAGAAAATTGGAATCTCCTGTTTTTTCTTTCTGATTCCTCCTGCACTTTTCTTCCTTTTTACCTTATTGTTTCTGCTCTGTATTAGTTTATATTAATTTTTATGTCTTTTGTAAAACTTTTAATAAAATAATTTGTACCAAACTGCTGCGAGGGAAGAGGTATGCTAATGAAGAGCAAGTTTTTCCAGAGGAATGGGGCTAATCCTAAGAAGACCTTACAAGTTGGGAAAAGAATCGGTCCTTGATTGAACTGCTGTGATCCTTAAAGTAACTGCATTTTAAAAGTTTTAGAATTCTTTTTCTAGGTGAATATGGGCTGCGGAACAAGCGTGAGGTATGGCGAGTGAAGTTCACTTTGGCCAAGATCCGCAAAGCTGCCCGAGAGTTGCTCACCCTGGATGAGAAAGATCAGCGGCGCCTTTTTGAAGGTAATATGGCAAAACTAGACACTGAACAACAGCTTTGGCGCAGTTGCTTTCGGACCTATGACTCACTCGAAGAAGCCTGCTGAGTACCTTGATACATTTAACTTTTTTTCCTCATACCAGCCCTGTAAGTCACTAATCTGATTATAAGATATGTGTGGTGTGTTATAAGATTATATAAAGGCCTGGTTTTCACAACATGTTAAATGGGGTCAAGGGAGGAGAGTTAATGTGTGATGCAAATACCAAAAAAGGATTAATAGAGCTAATTTACCACTGATAGTTGAAACAAACCTAGTTATGACAGGTTTAAACTGTACCCTTTCTAGCTTGCATACATCATCTTTTAAAAAAAAAAAAAAGTTTAAAAGAGTCTTGTCTATTATGAAGTTCACTACCAAGGTTGGAAAGGTAAGAAATACCAGCCAGAAATAGTTTGGCCACAGTGGCCAAGCCAGTAGTGTGCCAGCCTGAGTAATAAGAAAGGGGTTAATAATGAAAACACATTATTACTCACCTTGTGTAAGAGCTTGCCAAGATACTGGGCTCTTTCTGAAATAAATGGGTAGGAATTCTGTAATATCAGTTTTTTGAGTCAGTTAAGGTGACAGAACAGTCCAATTGGACTAAATATATTCTGTGAACAAGACTGACATTGATGTTGAGGCATGATTTGAACTTTAATCTCAAGGTCTCTGCTCAGTTGGAAACACAGCTATTGATACTGTGATGGTTGTATCTTTTTCAATACTGCACCCATAAACATGCTAATCTGGACATTGTCTCTTTTAACATTATATGGAAAGACCAATTTGCTGATGTCTCTCAAATTTCTCTCAGGCAATGCCTTGCTGCGCCGTTTGGTCAGAATTGGGGTGCTCGATGAGGGCAAAATGAAATTGGATTACATCCTGGGTCTGAAAATTGAGGATTTCCTGGAGCGTCGTCTCCAAACCCAGGTCTTCAAACTGGGCCTGGCTAAGTCCATCCATCATGCTCGTGTGCTTATCCGCCAGAGACACATCCGGTATGCTGCTGAGAGCCAAAGTTTGGGGAATGTGAATTTTAAGATACCTGTGAACTGCTGACATTGGGTGTCAGCATCAGAACGTGTGCCTCTGAAGTAATATTTGCAATATCTTTTATGTGTAGCTTGTGCAGCGATAACTGGCCCCGGCCCTGGCTTGGGCCTTCATATACCGCCAAACCCTTTTGTGGATCGAAACCATGGATAGCTCAGTAGAATAGCAGTGTCAAAACAACTGTCAAAGATTTCGGCAAGGTTCACTGCGGCTTGGCCGTACACCTTGTGAAGGTCTGCCACGTGGGTGGCCAAGGTAACACCAAGTACTGCTCTTACTTAGCAAGCACAGCAGTAACCTAATATAATCCTTCTGTACAAGTAAATTGACACGGGTTGGAGGAATTTTTTTCTATCTTCAGTTGCTGAATTCCAGTAAGCAACCCCAGCAAAAAAAAGTTGCCAAGAGTCGTTTGACTTTTTGGTAGACTACAAATTTCCCATTTCCTTAATTATATTTTACCACAAGCTGGAATTAGGTGGGTTTTACCTATTATAGGCAGCAACAGCAACTTTCACATATAAATCAGTTTCTTCCATGGTGTGTTGGCTACTTCTGAAATATAGTTCCATATCTGTTTTGTAAATTAGTATAGGTTTTTATTGTATTGACTATTTATGGTATATTTATGGGGAGATAAAGGACATGATAGGTTCTGTTTGCTTACAAATTACAACTGGTAGTTCAATGCTTTTCCTGCACTGAATACATATCTTGCTTGCACTGGCAAGGCAATTTTAAATGGTTTGGAGGGGGGCAGGCAGGGGGTTGGGGGAATAAAACAGATTAAAATTACAAAGCATAAAATTTGGTCATTGCTAAGCGAGTTTCTTGCCTGAATAAGTTACTGTCGAGTTAGCAGTAATATTCTGATTGCTCTATAAGTCATTGTAACGATTTCTCCTTTAAAGAGAGAAACTCCAATAGAGAATATTCATAGCTCAAGGTTGAAATGAGGGGTCCTTGTGATGTTTCCTAGTTTGGGTAATGAAATATTTGCAAGAAAACAACCAAGCTTGGAGAGCACAAAGGATCTCTGAGTGAAATTAGGTTCCAAATGGATCCAGAAACCTCTTGCAGTCACTCTATACATAACCCTGAAGTTAGTGGCCGTTGGGGCTTTGACTTCTGACTGTTGAGGGTACTGAGGCTGTGAGCTCAGAAAATATTTGTAGAGCTTGTTTGTTTTGTCAAATATTTCCCACGAGTTCCAGACGAGATTATTTATTCACTAATCATTTTCTTTCTCCCTTTTAGTGTAAGGAAGCAAGTGGTGAACATCCCTTCCTTCATTGTTCGGTTAGACTCCCAAAAGCACATTGACTTCTCCCTCCGTTCACCTTATGGTGGCGGCCGACCAGGCCGTGTCAAGAGGAAGAACGCCAAGAAGGGCCAGGGTGGTGCTGGTGGTGGAGATGATGAAGAGGAAGATTAAAGTGTAAACTGTGGCTTTCCTGCCACGTAAACTGGTGGGCCTTTGAGCCTATCTTACTAACATCATCCAATAAAAAGTATTTGTGGGTAAAATACTATAGTTCCATGGTGTCAAGAGAATTAGGAACATGTGGTAACCTGAACGTGTTTTTTCTTGCCTCTGCTCATCCGACAATGAGAGCTTTGTGAATTGATTGTTGACTTCACACCTCCCAGATTGAGATGTTTGCTTCTTGGCAGCACGAAAGGGAATGGAATATGAAGGGAATAGAGAGGAAGATTGGGGATGCAAATGAGGTGGGAGAGGTGACAGGCTTGGCTGTTTGAGAATGCTACATGGGCACAATTCTTTTGTTTTACATTACTTACTCAACACGCTCCAAGGCATAATTTCAGGGGATTGGTTTTTTCCCTTTCACCTCATTCTTTCCTTGTTTGTCTTTGTCTTGCCAAATTTAAACTGAACTGGAAAGAGGCCATTTCTGATGTGGGCTTTGATCATCGTTCCCTACACCCTCAATGCCACTTCTCTCTACTTTGCCTGCCCAAATGGAATTATTTCTAGACTGGGTGCACAAATACACTCTGTACTCCTTTTCCTCTAAAGTTATTGATAAGGTCTTGCAGATGAAAATAGTGGAAAGGTGAACAATAAAAATAGGGGAAATAAGCTAGGCTCCGTCCCAAAGGTAGATTTCTAGGAGATAAAAAGCTAATTTTTTACCTCTTGCAAACTTTTGTTACTTTCACTCAGGAAGCAGGAAAGCATACTGGCCACTTGATAAAAACATCCTTTTAACTATTGTTGGAGAGGAATTGGCTGGGCTTTCCAGTAGGATCCGGGAAGAGGTCTGGCTTGCCAGTAAGAAATCATAAATGAACTCGAAAGTAAAAGAATCAAGTCAGTTTGCAGATGATCAAGGTTTATTTGAGAGCAGGAGGTTTTAAAAACATTAGATTTAGGACTAAAAATTGAGTAGTTCTTAAGAGTGGAGTATCATTGAACTGTGCTACCTTGGTGAAAGTTTTGCGTGAAATGCACAAAACTGCCACCTACAATCACATTTTCTAACCTTTGTGCTGCACGGTTTGAGATCTTGTTTTTCTATGAATTGCCCCTTTACTATGAAACCTCTGTTTCCTCAGAGACTAGTATCTTCTTCGCCTTTGAGTGGTATATCTGCTGGCTGCCTATAAAAACACTCAAGTCACTGAACTTTTTTCTTTCTTTCTCGTAACTGATTTCTGAGTCAGCATTCTTGAAAGCTGTCAAGTTACAGTAATGACCTTTACTAAAGGCGGTGACTGGAAGTGGGGGAAGGAGAGAGGTCAGGATCACGCAGTGGGCAAAGTGGAAATAGAGGAGAGGACCGCTGGGGATTTGGTGCAGTGTGGCTTATTGCTCAAAATCTGCCTTCAGACTGGCCTTGGGGCTATCTATCTTCTAGAGAAAGAAGGCTGTTGGTTGTAATTCAAACATCGTTACTGGGTGTACAATCTTTTTGTCCGCCTGAGTTTGTAAAGAAAGATGCATAATAGTTGGAGCTAAATACAATCTTGTTGACTTCACTACCGGGCGGTGCTGCTGCAGACTTCATAGATGTTCCTTGTGCAGTTAGCAGAGCTATTTGTCACGGGATTGTTTCGCACAAACTTGTGCACCTTTCAACTAAAGATGAGAAAAAGTGGGAGGTGCTTAAGTCAGCTTTGCCTATGGATAGAATAAAAACTTCTACCTGTGCACAAGAAGCTTTTCAAATATGGAAGTTGCTAACTTGGAAAAATGGGGAAGGGGATTATTATACAGGATACACATCTCCAGATCGTTGACTAATCTCCGCCAATCCTTTTTCAGATAATTTTCAATAGCTTTTGGAAGGCTCATTATAAATAGCTCCACAATGAAAAGGTTGGCTTAGCTGTCAGATGGTTTATTCCACGAAATTGGGGTGCATCAGCAATACACTATCTACAATCAGCTCTGCTCATCCATTCTAACGGGAAAGGCCCCCAACTCTGCACTCACTAAAAGGTCTTTAAAACTGGTGCTTTGGTGCTTCCTTTTAGCTGCAGATTGAGTTCAATAATACCTGTGGGACCGGCAGCCTCTGCAGCTGAGCCCTGGTGTCACCTCTGCCCCGCACGCTGGTTCGTACAGCCCGCTGACACAGCTCCTGCAAAGTGGGCACCTTGCAACGGAGTGGCTGCGAGAGGGCCAAAGGCACTGGAGGTTGACCCTCACTCTCCAAGTAGCAGGGACCCCCTTCTACAGCCCCAAGGCAGAGATAATACTCAACTAACTCGACCACACAACTGAAGGTTGGGGGATGGCCAGCTCCTGGCAAGGCCTCCAGGTGGAAAGCGGAGTCCTGCTGCTGAATACGCAGGTTGGTGATGCCTGTCCTGGTGCGGACACTCAAGGTGAAGAGGTGATGATGGTCGGAGGAATCTCTCACCAGGAAGACACCAGGAGGCTGGGAAGTCAAGAGCCGCTTGGCTTCAGCCCCTGACAGGCTGCCCCAGTAGAAGCCACTGGCCTCCAAACGTTCCAAGGCACTTTCCACCCGCTCAAACTCTCCACAGAAACTCTTGAAGTGGTAGGAAGGGACGGCAGGGCCTGTCATGGCCACCACGACTGGTGCAGATGCCGGCGGGCAGCAACAGCACAGGGGGACCATTGCGCCACCAATTGACTAGTGGACAGCTTGATCGCTTATCAGAGCTGCATCTGAAAAGGAAGATAAAGTCAATTCACAGAAAGGCGCCTGAACATCACTCGCATCAAGGCAAGGGTGTTAACCTGGTTTGGCCTGGTGAGTCACAATATTAGGTACAGGCAAATCCTCAACTTATAACATTCATTTAATGACCGTTCAAAATGAAAATGGCACTAGAAAAAGCAACTTATGACCGTTGCAGCATCCTCAGTTGCATGATCAAATTTCAGATGCTTGGCAACCAGCATGCATTTGCAACGATTGCAGCATCTTGGGGGTCTTCAGACTGTCATTGGTGAGCTTCCCAGGGAGCGTCTGACAAGCAAAGTCAACGGGAGAAGCCAGATTTGCTTAACGCCACACGATTCACTTAAAAAAATTATTTGCTTAATTATGGCAAAAAATGACATAAAATAAGGCACGATTCACTTAACTGAGTCATGGTGGTGCAATAGTTGGAATGCAGTATTGCAAGCAAATTCTGCTGATGACCGATTGCCAGCAGTTTGATGCTCACTGGCTCAAGGTTTGACTCAGGCTTCCATCCTTCCGAGGTCAGTAAAATGAGGTCCCAGATTGTTGGGGGGCAATAGGCTGACTCTGTAAACCGTTTAGAGAGGGCTGTAAAGCAGAGTTCCCCAACCTTTCCGGGTTGGCGGCCCAGGGGGAGGGGGGAAAGAGGAGATGGTTTTGTGAAAAGGGCAGGCATGTGTGTGCATGCATGAGCACTCATTGCTTGCATGAGTGAGGCCGCGAGTGCCTGTGACTCTCATGCAAATGGTGAAGTCGGTCACCTGAGTGGGGCCAATGGGTGTTGAGCCTTCTTGGCGGCAGGATGTTTTTTGCCCTGTGTCCCTGCCCTGAAGGGACACCGTCAGAAAACATCCTGCCCCCAAGAAGGCTCAACACCCATTGGCACCACTCAGGTGACCTTGAGGACACAGATAAAAACTCCAGGTGACCTCATTGACTCTCCAAAAGAATGCAAAGGACCAGCTGTCTGCAAGGAATATAAATCCTTCTATTCCCCACCATCCGGTCAGAGCTGAAGAAGCTTCTTGGATGAGAAGCAAAATGTCTTCAAAGAAAAGCAAGAAAGTCCAGTTGCCTCCTGAAAAAGCACCTTTGGGACAACCGTGACCTGGATGACTGAGAATCTCCATAGACCAGACATGTCAAACCTGCGAAGTCATGTGACATCACACAACATATCAAGACTGTTTTGCCATTGCCGGCAATGGGGTGGGCGCGGCTTCCGTGTGACGCAGGCTGGCAGTTTGACAACTCTGCCATAGACAGTTCAAACTAGGCTTGATCTCAAATTCTTCGTTGACTGACTTTAAAAAGCTGCTTAAGCTTCAGTTGGCCCTCAAACAAAGAATAGATCATCCACAGTACTTTTTTCCAGTTCATTTATCTCTGACAAGGTTTACTTGAAAAAAAAAATTAGATAAGTTTTATCCAGCTCAGCAGGTTTAGCAAAAAGTATTGGTAAAATAGCCTAGAACTGCTAAGTACCCAAATCTCAAACATTCTAAATATTTTTTTACTGATAGTTTATTGCATGGAGTTTATTCAAGCATCACACTACAGGGTACTATTTTTTGCAAAGAGCCTGAACTGAGTTGTTCAAGACGAGTTAAAAAGTTGTAGTCCCAAAATATGGAATTTGACATTTTATGAAGAATTTTTGGCTCTGTTGAGCCTGGGGTTCAGGGAAGAGAATTACTCTTAAGTAGACAGAAATAAATTACCACTCTGATGCTAAAGAGTATATATATTCCTTGGTCATTTTTGAAATGCCCTTTTAGTGTAAATATGAAACAAGGAAGCAGCCCTAGGTGAATTGCACAGGTTCTCACAAATGATTTGCCACAAATTATTTCCAATGTTTCCAGTAAACATAGAAGGCAAAATATGGTGAACAAGGTTCTTTGGAGACTCATGGTGGATAAGAAATCCTCGATCTTGGTGCTTAGAGCCTCTATGCCAGCTTCTTCAACATGACTATACAGGTAGTCCTCAACTAATGGCCACAAAGGGAACCAGAATTTCCGTTGCTAAAGAAGGTGGTCGTTAATTGTCATATCTGATTTTATAACCTTTTTTTTGCCACAGTTGCTAAGTGAATCTCTGCCATTGTTAAGTGAATCATGCAGTCAATAAGCAAATGCAGCTCCCCCTATTCTGATTTTGCTTATTGGAAGCCAGCTATGAAGCTCACAAACGGCAATCACGTGACTTTGGGATGCTGCAACTTTATAAATACATACTGGTTGCAAAGCAGCTGAATTTTTATCATGTGACCCTGGGAATGCTGTGACAGTTGTGTGAGGACCCATCGTAAATCACTTTTTATCATTTTAAATGGTTGCTAAATAAACGGTTGTAAGTCGAGGACTACCTGTAAGCACTAGGATGGGTTTGATTTGTTAATTTCATGTATTTTTAAACTGCTACCCAGACAGATCTATCTCAAAGAAACCCGAGCTTCTCAAACTGCAGATTCATTCCTGTAAGAAAACCAGCCCGCCTTGCAAAATTCATAGAAGAGATGAGCCAAAATGTTTGTTTCTTAAACTGACAAACAGAAGAACTAGGTTCCCTTCAGGGATGGTGATGGGGAACAGGCAAGTATGGCTAAACATCACTTCCCCGCAGATCATAGAAAGAAATATAAGAAACCTTCATGAAACCTTACAGTTCTGTTCTAGTTCTGGAATTCCCTTTTAGAACATAGAATCATAGCGTTGGAAGGGACCTTGGAGGTCTTTTAGTCCAACCCCCTGCTCAGGCAGGAGACTCTATATCAGAGGAAGGGAAACTTTGGCTCTTTTATGACTCATGGACTTCAACTCCCAGAAGTTGAAGTCCACGAATCATAAAAGAGCCAAGCTTGCCTACCCCTGCTCTATACCTTTCTGGACAAATGGCTGTTCAGTCTCTTCTTAAAAACTTCCAGTGTTGGAGCACCCACAATTGATGGAGGTTTTTTTCCCCCCAAGACCAATCTCTTGTAGGGAGCAGTTTAAGGTAATCAGATTTGTAGGCAATTGCTCTAACCAGAAGATCAGACATGGAAGTTGGAGGATTCAGTTTGAAATAAAATTTCCCCAAAGTGGAAAGCACAGCATGGAAATGAATGTTATTCTAACTTCTGGTCTGGTGCTACTTTTTCATTTTATGGCAGTTTTTAAGAAGACTGTCATAAACGGCCTCTTCCACTTGCTGTGTGTTGGACTGCTAACATTTGCTTCTCCTTTCCTTCTGCTACCAAGGCTGGACACTTCTCTTGCTAAGATCCCAACCACGGCAGCTTCCTTTTCAACTTAACTTCTTTACAAAGTGTTTAATCTCACCGTTGATCTCAGTTACAAGATGGTTTTGAAACTATTACGTAACTCACAACATGTTCAGGCCAGAGAAAGCAGGATTCTGTTTCATAATCTGAGGGCTTGTTATTGGTTTGAAAGAAAGAACTACCTGGCCCTTCAAAGAGAAAAAGTCTAACTCAGCAACCACTGAAAGGCAGAAGTGGGGAAGGGAGTGAGTCCAAGAACAGCAAAGAGAACTAGCCTGCAGCTTGCAGAGGAAAAGGCAAAGATCCTTCCCAGTTGACTTTGATGTCTAATGGCTGCCTAGCCAACATGTCCACGCTGCTTTCTTGACAAGAACACAAAAGTGGTTTATCATGATTTTCTTCTAGGGTGAGATCTTTTCTCAAATTCCTCATCTAGCTTATAGCCAGCCTTGGTTTCCCAACTGTCATCCATTTGAATACTAACCAGGTCCAACCTGCTGAACTTTTTTCAAGATCCGCCAAGGTCACCTGCAATGAAATATAGTTTTGAGAGAGTCTACTGGAATTCCTGCCAAACATCTTCGGGAAGCAAAAGTTAGAATGACACACTGTGTGTTTGACTGAAGTCTGCTTGCTCTCAAATTGTTGCCCTTACTGATTTGAAAGTAGAACAGGTAGTCCTCAAGTTATGGACCACAAGTGGGACCAGAACTTCCATCACTAAACAATGTGGTCATTCAGTGAGTTGCAGCCATTTTGATCACGTGACTGTGGGGATGTTGGGTTGTTAATTGTAGGACTGATCATAAGTCACATTTTTCAGCACCATTGTAACTTAGAACAGGCATTAAACTAATGGTTGTTAGTCAAGGACTATCATTTGGCATTCTCAACCTGGTGACCTTTAGATGTATTGACCACAACCTCTCATTATTACATGCCAGTTGGGAATAACAGGAGATGTAGTATAATGAATCTAGAGGCCACCTACTCTTCATTCTCATCCTATAAAATGCCTCCTATTGAGGTAAGATACTGGCAGGTAGCAGCTCCTGGCTAATCTTAACTGGGCTCCAAAATTAAGCAGGGTGAGTCCTGGTCAGGATTTGGATGATAATTTGTCAGGGGAATTTCATCGCTGAATACTAGAGCAGGAAGTGGAAACACCAACTGAAGAAATGGATCAAAACCACCAAAACACAAATTATATAAGTGCCAGGAAATCTGAATGGCCATGTTCATGAAATCAACAGGAGCTGCTCTGAATCTAAGAAAATGTTTGGCCTTGTCATGTTATGTGTTTCTGAGCTCATTTCCTCTAAACTACCTAATTGATAAAAAATAATTGCAATGATGGAGAATCTTTATAAATCAGGGCTTCCCTAGTGATCTCTGATCTGGGCAATCTCCTTGCAGATTTTTCATTGCCCCACCCAGTAACATCACCAGTGCTTCTGATTTATCCCAGAATGGTATATAATTAATAAATTATTAATTATAATTGATGAATAGTACACCACCCTAAATCTTGCCTCTTGAGTCTCTGGATAGAAGGCTTTATCTATCCCACACTTCAAATACTCCCATGTAATCAGTTCAGTAAATAAGAAATAGGCTTATCCCATTGCTACCATGGTTTGTTTATTAATCTTTGGCAGGAAGGATATATGATTAATTAATTTTTTTGTCTATTTCCCTACAAAGATACCACAATAAAAGGAGATGGTCAACTGCAACTCTAAAAACTAATCTCAGATTTATAAGAATAAGGGGGAAAATATTTTGGGACTATATCACTAGAAAGCAGTAAGTTGAAGTAGATGGCATATTTGACAGCTCATATTCATTAACATTTCCCTGCATTTAGAAACCTAGAGTCTCTGTAATATTGGAGAAAGAGGTAAATCTACAATTGTACTTATACAGTAACTGCTGTAAAAATCAGAAGCCACCTCTTTATCTTTTTCTTTCTTTTCTGTTTTTCTTCTACTTTTTTGTACTTTAGTTCTCTCTTTTGTTTCTTCCTTTTTCCTTCTGGTTCTATTTCAGTTTGTCCTCATTTTTACTCTTGTTTTTAAAAGATTAAAAAAAATTATATTTTTTAAAAAGAAATATTTTCTTCTAAAATGCAGTATTGGTATCTTGAGGGCACAGTACTTTTTATGTGGGAAACTACAGTTTTCTAGGCCACATTTCTTCAAAGATGTTTGAATGGCTCAAAATGCCCCAGGTAGCTTCATGCTTAAAGGCAAGACTAGAATTCACAGTCGCTTGGTTCCTAACATGGCGCCTTAAACCACTGCACAAAAAATGAGAAGAGAACTTTACAGGTAGTCCTTGACTTACGACCACAGTTGAGGTCCAAATTTCTGTTGTTAAGTGAGACATTTGTTAAGTGAGTTTTGCCCCATTTTACAACTCTTCTTCTTTGTTAAATGAATCACTTTGGTTGATAAGCTAGTAACAGGGTTGTTAAGTGAATCTGGCTTCCCCACTGACTTTGCTTGTCAGAAGGTCACAAAAAGAGATCACATGACCCTGGGACGCAGCAATGGTCATAAGTGTGAACCAGTTGGAGATGCAGCAAAGGTCTTTAACTGTGAAAAACGGTCATAAGTCACATTTTTCAGTGCTGTTGTAACTTTGAATGCTCACTAAATGAACTTTCGTAAGTTGAGGGCTACCTGCACGAAAAAGCTTACATAAAACTCTTTTTAACTAATCTGTGAATAATACTTTACTGGGCAGAGAAAAAAATTAGCCCAGTTGAAAACTTACAATCTCATAGCGGTAAGATTCTAACATCCTGTTCACAGATTCCTCCTGAAAAACCCAAGTGGGTTATTGCTTCTGAGCAAAGGCAGTCCCATGTGAGGGTTTTTGTTTTGGTTAAAAAGAAAAAAATGCCCTGAAGTAGCCTCACACAGGAAAATGTGACCCATTTTAAGGAGAGTAGCATCTGAACTCAAACTTATCAACTTTAGACCATTCCCAAACTACATCCTAGAAGGAATCCACTTAGCTGCCAGCAAGGTTAAAGAGGCTGGTCCAGTAGACACAACACATGGGATATGAACTCTGGGAAACAAACTCTCTGCTAGTCTCTCCCAATTCCAAAATCTGCTGAATTATCTTCTGCTCAGATAAGCAAATCCTGGACAGAAATCAACCATCCCCAGCACGGTTTAGTTGTGCAACAGAAAATAAGGAGACCAGACAAAAGGGGCCTCCTAAGTACATTAATAGAGGTGGTCCTAGTTCAGCCCTTGTCATCTCCATTGAGAAACGGACTGAGTAGCAAGTAGTAGAGAGCAAGAACTGACATTAACAAGCTAAATAAATCAATAGCTTGTACTGATGTACAAGCAACTGGTGACAGCTCCTACAGCCTGAAGCACCTCCCCTCAGAGGAGACTCTTCATCTCTGAATGAGTCACTCTTGTTATCTGCCAATAATTCCAGGAGGTGCATCCTTCTTTATCTTACATTTTGTGTATTAAGAGGAAATTTCCACCACTGTGAGCCAGTTTGGTCTAGTGATTAAGGCACTAGGCTAGAAAGGGGGAGACCGTGAGTTCAAGTCCCTTCTTAGCCATGAAAGCTAGCTGGATGACATTGAGTCACTCTCCCTCAGCCCAACCTACTTCACAGGGTTGTTGTGGGGAGGGGAAATAGGAGGAGAAAGTTGTGTTGGATCTCTTCGCTGCCTATTATTTGCAAAAATAATAAAGGTGAAATAGAAATAATAAAATAAATTTTAGGATACAATTAAACTAACTTCTCTTGAACAAAGTAGTCTTGTCACCTTTCTGTATGAATCCGTGATAAATATCTACCCCATCACTTTTAGATCCATCTCATTTCTACATTCTATAATTCTCAACTCAAAGAAGCTACAGTAGATACCTCCTTGTTGAATGAGGGGTCTTTGGTGCTCTCTGATCTTGGTTGTTTTCTTGCACACATTTCATTACACAGAGTAGATAACATCACTAGTCATTAGCACTGATGTTATCTAGTTTGGGTAATGAAACATCTGCAGGAAAACCAACCAAGCTGAGAGAGTACCAAGGACCTCTCATTTCATACTCTCCTTCATTGCCGTTGAAGATGAGTTTTGTATCTCCAAAAGCCATTTCTCTCTATGAACATTTCTGGCACCTGAGTTTTTCCAAATAGCTTTACTCTAGGTCAGGGTTTTCCAACCTTGGCAACTTTAAAACATGTGGACTTCAGCTCCCAGAATTCCATGCTGGCTAGGGAATTCTGGAAGTTGAAGTCCACATGTCTTAAAGTCACCAAGGTTGGGAAACCCTGACCTAGGTTATCTCTCGCTTTCTTTTATAATGCTGTGTCTCAGGGATGAAGTCAAAGTCACAATTCATGGACTTGTTAGGAGACTGAGTGTCGAAGAAGGGTAACATAACATCCCACACATTGGGCGGGCACCATATTGGGAAAAGCAGAAATAAAGCAACACAACTAAAATACCATCTTCTTGGCTCAGTCTAGCAAATTAAGTAATTTATTGGTGTCCTGAAGGCACCTTGATTTAAATATATGTTTCTATGTGATTGAGAGAAGAATATTTTTGTCATTACAGAAGGTTTAACAAATATATATACTGTATATAACATCAGCTGAGAGAGAATTCTTAAACTCTGTATGTTTCAACAGAATGAGAATACAATAGGACTCATCTTTTGAGCATCTGCTTGGATTATTTTAAATCCTAGTGTACTAGCTTGGACTGGGCTGTGAATTTAAACAAAAACTGCACACATTTTCTGGATCAAGGGCCACTCTGCTCTTTGAGCACATAAAGATAATCTCCGACGTACAACCATTCATTTAGTGATGGTTTGAAATTACACCACCACTGAAAAAAATAACTTATGACCATTTTTCACAATTATGATCCTTACTGAATCCCCAAGTGATCAAAATTTGGACACTTAGCAACTGGCATGTAGTTATGATGGTTGCAGTGTGCCAGGGTCATGTTCACCCTTTGTGACTTTCTGACAAGCAAAGTCAATGGGGAAGCCAGATTCAATTAACAACCACGTTATTCACTTAGCAACTGCAGTGGTTCACTTAATAACTGTGGTAAGAAAGACCATAAAATGGGGCAAAATTCACTTAACAACTGTCTTGCTTATCAATGAAAATTTTGGATTCAACTGTGGTCCATAAGTCAAGGACTACTTGTATCCCATCTCACTAAATTTGCTATTATTTTCTTTACACTTAAATAGAGTTGATAAGATTCATTCTCCAGTTACATAGAAAATATTTTCTACTTTTAGGCACGTTTAAAACGACCACTAAGGAACAATTTGGGGAAAGGATTCTCTACTTCAAATTGTGCTTTTCTGCACAATAATCAAGCAGCAGCTTCCTCAACACATTTTCTCTCAGCTGCAGCTGCAAGGCATGGAAACCCAAGTACTTCTCCAGGCTAAATGGTGTTCTATGAATTGCTTAATTTTTGTTGTTGGTTTTTATTCTCTTCTCGTAACTGCAGATGAGAAATAGCACGAAGAAAGAGGACGTTGCTAGTGAATAGTTATACAGTAATGAAAGAAATGGGAAAATCATGGCTGGTAGACAAAACTTTATTACAGTTTTCCTCTGGTGTTGGAAGCAAATAAACTTGCATGAAATCTACGTAAAATGCAGCTATTTTTACAACACAGAGACAGACAGACAGACAGACAGACTGACTGATAGACACACGCGCACACACAGAGGACTATTCTTAGGCATGCCTGTGTTAGATTTAAAAGTTGAGAGGGTGTCAAATACGAAAACTTGGCTATTTGCATTGTGGCAGTCCTAATCTTATAAAGCATAATCGTCGGGACGTTAAATTTGAATTTTGCCAGATTTCATACAAGCATCTGATTTTTCGAGTTATTGTTCTTATTCGGCAGCCTAAAGGTGGTCTTCCACCCTCCCCTGTGTTAAAAAAAATTAAGCGCCAAAACCAGACTGGGGCTTCCCGCCACTATTTACCCCCCAATAAACCAGCATTGAACGAGTTTTCCGTACTCCGCTACCAGCCCCGAGAGTCCGGGCGCGGATCTCTTGTTTAAAGAGTGGCCGGAACGGGTTTTTCTTCTTCCCAACTTTCGCAGCCCCCTTCCCGGCTTGGAAAACAACCGCGCTCGCTCCCAAAGCCCCGGAGAGTTTTGCTAACCTTTGTTGGCGAGGAAAGCCGAGCGGTGCCTGGGTTTCTCCGAGGAGCGGGAGAGCGAAAGGGGGGGGGGGGCAAGCGAATCGATTTAAAGCGCGGACTCCGCTTCGCAGGCTGGGCTGCGGGGAGCGAGTCCGGCGCGATCGCCCCTTTCTCCCATCTTTCGAGCGGCGGCGGCGGGAGGATGGAGGTGGGCGAAGGCGCACCGCGCGTCGGGATGGTCTCGGACGGAGGAAAGCTCCCCAGCTCGGACGGGGAAAGAGTAGAAAGAGGTGGAAGTTTACGGGGCTGGGTGGGGGTGGGGGTGGGGGTGGGGGAGTGAAATGGAGGAGGAGGAGGAGGAGGAGGGTGGAAGAACAGCGCCAATCTATTTCCTTTGGCCAAAGAATCGCGGCCCCTCTTTGGTTTCCTGGAAATGCGTGTGAACGTACGTGCGCGTTTCTGAAACGAGAAGCGCCTTTCCCGTTAGCGGAGGAATCGGAGAAGGCGGGGAGGGGGGGGTTGGTATCCGACGACTTCGGATACAATCTCGGTGCGGGGGGAGGGAGAGAGGGTGAGGGAGAGAGGGAGGGAGTAGCTTAAAGGGCAGGGGAGAAAGTGCCCAAGTTTTCAATAATCGTTCGGCGTCTCTGATTGGATGTTCTTTGTATGTATATGTATATATATATATATATGTGTGTGTGTGTGTTAGTATATATATATGCACATATGCATATATGTATGGAAAACATGTACATTGGTCAAGAGAGGAGATAAGCTGGATATGTGTGTGTGTGTGTGTGTGTGTGTCTGGGGAGGGGGGAGTGTGGCCGAGTATTTATTTTTATGAATGGTCGCCACTTTCATTGGTCGCTGGGGAGTGGCTGACAGGGCTCTGATTGGCAGGAAGTGGCTGTATCAACCCCGCGCGCTCCCTCCCCCTCCCCTTTTGCTGCTGCTGCTTTTTTTTTACCCCCCCCCCCTCTGGGTGATTCCTGGAAGTGTGAGGGACTGTTGGTAAGAAGGAGGGGAATGCGAGTTGGTTCCCGCCTCCGCCTATCTCTGCAGTGAAGGCGGGTTGGGTAAGGTGATCGGGCCTTTGGAGGGAGATCCCCCGCTCCCCCGAAGCGGCACACCTTTCCTTTTTAACTCTCTCGGTGCAAGGGGGGGGGCGTGCAAAAAGTTCGGGGAAGCGACCAATGACAAGCTGCCCTCTCCCCTCCCGTCCCCCCCAATTCACTTTTAAGTCGCCTACTCTGGAAAGACACGTGCGAGCGAAAGGGGGCGGGGGGTTGCCTTGGTCTGAATTGGGTGCATAGATGTATGCGGTGCCTTTGTGTAACTCGGGCCTCCGTAGCCCGCGTTTGCACCGTGTGAATGCGGGCAGTTTGGATCGGTCCACGAAAGGAGCACTTCGCGTGTGTGGATTCTCCGCGGGGGGGGGGAGCTCCGTAATAGCGGCCTTTCGGTTTGTAGACGACCCAGCTGCGGAACTGAAAGGCTCAATTCGAAGATCGCTGCTTGCATGATGTGTCATGCCCAGATTCACACAACACGCTAAGCTAAATCCTGAATCAGGATTGTTAATATGCCATAGCCTGTACAAAGACATCAATCATGTTACAGTTTAATGGGATCGCCTGGCTCACAACCCAATGACCACCCCTGTGAGCTATACTAGGGTGTTGTGCAAACTAATCAGGATGTGGTTTTGGACAAAGCCTCAGCCCCTGTCTGCCCCATCTTGAATGTGGAGATGATACATTGATTTTCTACTCTGAAAATGCTGTAAGGGTTAGGATAAACTGAGCATGAAGTGCTTTGAATTTTTAATAGAACTACCATATACAGAATGTTTTGTATTGTTGCTACTATGGCTCCCGTTATTACTGTTACTTTGCACTGTTGACGGGGTAGCTAGAGAGCTGGATGAAGGTTTGGTTCAAATATCTATCAGTTTATCTGATCTTCACAACATGGTGTAGTGCTTGGCTAAGTCTGGGGAGATCTGAATTACACACATACACTCACACTCCCAACTGTGTCCTGTGAAAAGCAAAGATAGACTCAGCTTGAATTGCTTGAAAGACAGGTGGGGAAAAGCATAATAAACAATTTGCAAACTCACTCCTGAGTTCACCCGCACCAGCTTCTTTTTATGGCTTTAGGCTATTTCAGTCCACTATGATGCCCTTTTGAAAATCAATGCACTTGAATATGAGAAGGTGTGTGTGTGTGTGTGTGTGTGTGTTACATCTGTGCACTTGAAGCAAAATAAAGAGGACAACGCTCAAACAGGAGCATTTGAAAATAGCAAAAAGAATATGTGAAAATCCAAAATAGGCGAATATTTTGGAATAGCTGCAGGATTAAAAGCTTTGCCCATGCTCAACAGATGGCTGATCAAGTTTCCTGCAAAGGGGGGTGGAGTGGGGGGGGAGGCTCCTAACTTTGAGACCCATGGAGAGCAGATTGAGATAGCCTGCCTAAACATTTTCTCTTTTATATTGTGAGTTTGTACATTAGTTTTGAAGAGCCAGTGTGTTTTTGGGATGAGGGGGCTGGGCTAGGAGCAGGGAGATCAGACTTCCTATCTTGTCCTAGGCATGAGAGTGAACTACGTGAATTTTGATCAGCCATTCTCTCTCAGCCAAAGAGGGGAAAAAGACTTCCAAAAATACAGGCGGTCCTCAACTTACGACCACAATTGATCCCACAATTTCTGTTGCTAAGCAAGGCAGTTGTTAAGTGAGTGTTGCCCCAGTTTTTTCAGCCTTTTCTTGCCACAGTTGTTAAGTGAATCACTGCAGTTGTTAAATTAGTAACACGGCTGTAAAGTGATCACACGATCCCGTGACACGGCAACCATCGTAAATACATGCCAATTGCCAAGCACCCAAATTTTGATCACATGACCCCCGTGGATGCTGCAGTGGTTGCCAGGGTGAAAACTGGCCGTAAGTCCCTTTTTCAGGGCTGCAACTTCAAAAGGCTACTAAACAAACGGTTGCAATTTGAGGACTACCTGTATTGCTAAGATAATGTTTCTGTGCAATCCCCAGGAGTCAAGACTGACTCAAAGGCGGGACCACAGAAATACTCGTAAAAGCTGTACTGAAATGTTAAAACTTCTAAAATCAAATCAGTACATAGGTTTGGATGTGCATGCCAGGAAAAGCAGACTCGCTCTTATGCATACGACCACAGTTGGGACAAGAATTTCCATTGCTAAGCAAAGCAGTTGTTAAGTGAGTCACTTTCAATTTTACCAGTGTTAAGCGAATCACTGCAGTTATTAAGTGAATCCTGTGATCATTAAGCAAATCTGGCTTCCCCTAATGCAGGGGTAGGCAACCTTGGCTCTTTTATGACTCGTGGACTTCAACTCCCAGAATTCCTGGGCCAGCTATGCTGGCTCAGGAATTCTGGGAGTTGAAGTCCACGAGTCGTAAAAGAGCCAAGGTTGCCTACCCCTGCCCTAATGACTTTGCTTGTTAGAAGCCAGCTGGGAAGGTTACAAACGGTAATCACCTGACCCCGAGATGCTGCAGCCATTGTTAAATAGATGCTGGGTTTGATCACATGACCATGGGGAAGTTGCAACGGTTATAAGTATGAGGACCAGTCATAAGTCACTTTTCTTTAGTGCTGTTGTAACTTCGAGTGGTTGCTACTGGTAAATGGATAGTTGTAAATCGAGGATTACCTGTATTTCTTTTGTATATCAATAAGGTTTTTCACGAGTATGGAAAACATATGAGTATAGCAAACATATATTATAAAGATGTGCCCAGGAAAAGCCAGGTTAATATGTGTTATCTTCAAAGTAATACTATATGCCTTTGTGTACTCTTAATAAATATTGCAATTTATGTATGAATATCAAATAGATGCATACATGCAAGAACCTCCATGTAGCATATAGATATAAATTATATATGCCATATGAATTTACCAACTTGGTAATAACACCTAGCCATCTTTGCTTAGTTTTGAAAAAGTGAGCAATTGGACAAGATGAAAATTGATCTGTCTGTGTCTATCTATCTATCTCTGTCGTCTTATCATTCTATGATCTGTCTATCAAACTTATATGGCTCCCCATCTCACAGAAAGTCACTGTGGGTGATGTACAACAATCCAGTAAAAACAGTAAATAAATAAGACAGTCATTAGTGAAAACCATTAGATAATATTTTAAAAAATTAAAAATGATAACAGCAAAGCTACAGTAGGGAGAGAGAATAACAGACGGCTGTTAATTATAAGGAAGCCGCCTTACGAGTTCTCCTATCCGCTGGGATTCTTGGGGCTGCTGGCATAACCAGGTTTTGAGGGACCTTCAGAAGTTTGGGAGTTATGAAGTCAACCTCATCTCCTGGAGAAGAAGTTTCCCGGTGCCACAGCAGAAAAAGCCTGCAACTTGCAGTACCAAGTATCAGCACCCATAACATATCGTTCTACTAGACTGGAAAGTTTTAAACAGCATCTTAGAAGAAACTAATACACAGTACCCAAGTAATCAAGAGAAGTTGGACTTGGCCTGAAAGAGAATTTCCTTGTCATGTCTGAACTGTGAGGAGCATGCTCCTATGTCAGTCCCATTAAGAGGATATACCACAGTCATGGTATGAAAGGGGACACTGTCTCTAGTACAGTGGTCTCCCACCTTTCTGGCTCCACAGATTGACGGCAGCAGTAAGCAGCGGCGGCGGTGAGGAAGGTGGAGGGGATGTTTCACATGTGCAGCCTAGCTCCTGCCCATGCGCAAATGAAGCTTTGCACACTTGTCCATCAGTTGCGCAGCCCAGTTTCCAACGGGCCACAGACTGATACCAGACCATGGTCCAGGGGTTAGGGACCCCTGCTCTAGTGAGCTAAATATTTATATTGTTATGGGTGCAGGTAAATATATATATATATAATTTTTGTTCTTGTTTTCTTTCAGTTGTGACCTATTCTTAGAGACTGTCTGGACAAGTCCCTATAGTTTTCTTGGCAAGGTTTTTCAAAAGTGGTTTGCCATTGCCTCTTTCTTAGGGCTGAGAGAAAGTGAGTGGATCAAAGTCGCCCTACTGGCT